CTGGGATGGCCAGGCCTCTGCCTCTGCACCAGTCACTGGATGGGGCCACCCTGGCAAGGGGTAGGACGTTCCGCCCACCCAGCTGCTCTCTACAGTTCTCTGCAGTCATGGGGGGAGGGGGTCCCATCCGCCAGACTTGGGTGGGGGGTGGGGGGGCCTGATGAGTTGGGGGAGGGGATGGGAAAGAGACAGCCTTGACACAGGAATGGCGAGATCCAGAGCAGCGATGGGGTCCCTCTGTGCGGGGCTGCTGCAGCCAGAAGGGGTTTGGGGTGGGTGTTAGTGTGGAGGTTCAGGGCGGGGGGGAGAAGGTGTAGACGATCCCCTTTACCATCTATGTTCTCAAAGCAGCTTGGAGAAATACTGTCTCTTGGCAAAGTGGGCCTCCGAGAGCCACTTCGGGGAGTTGCGGGAGCGTTCATAGGAGGTTTGTGGAGGGACAATTTCGTAGGTCCCGTCCCCTCTGTGGCATGGCTTCCTCCAGCACCCTAGGCTCTGGCCGGAAAGGTGGAAGACAGGGTCCACCTTGGAGGATTGCCTGCTGGGTACAAATGGAGGGAGAGAGGGGCCCAAGGCATTTGCTGGAGAAGCGCATGTCATAGACAATGCTACTGGGGCTCAGAAGGGCTGTGCAACTTACTCAACGCCACACAGCCAATACATGGGTTGGGAACCAGATTAGGGACAGTAGTGCTTACTCTGCTGCATCCCACTCCGGGGGGGGGGGGGCGGCAGGGAAGATTGGGTAATAAAAGGACTACCTACAGAGACGCTGGAGGAGGGGAGACACAGGAACGGCAGTCGGGGCACTCGTAAGGGCCAGGCCTCGAGAGGGGAGGTGGACGGCCATGCCAGCAGGGCCAGGCGACAGCGTGGAGAGGACTTCCCCGTGACTTCCAGGAAGGGACGATGGCCCAGCCAAGAGGCAGCCTTGGCGCGAGTACTTCTCCCTCAGTCTCCCCGCCATTCCCGCCCCACCCCCACCCCAATTTGGCAGAGGGCAAGGTGGGATGTGGAATCTGCACAACCTTGACTCCTCAGGACACAAGTCACCCAACCAGTCTGGGCATCAGGCTTCTTTTATCTCTAAGATCAGAGCAATCAATCACCCGCCTCCAGCGACGCGCAGAGGGCTCTTCCTGCCCCGGGGAGCTGGCCGAGCAGACCCGCAGCAGCGTGTGTAACACCCCTGCTTGGGCCAGGTCGGGCCTGGACGCGCTCCCTTGGGTGCAGGGGGCGGGGGGAGTCCGGCCACCTTACCCGGATGTTCGAGCCCCGCCTCCGCCTGACCAGCGGCACGCGCAGGGCTGGGCGCAGAGGGGCGCCCTCCACCCCCGAGGGGCGCCCTCCACACCCCGGGGAGGTGGGGATGATGCGGCCATCTAGACAATTCCGGAGACTCGGGAGGCCATGGGTGATCCGGAGCGCGCCAGCAGGCGCCGCAGAAGCCCAAGCGGGGGTGGGAAGTCCCCTTCCCCGTCTGCTGGGGTGACCCTAGGGCGACGGCAGCGCGCGATCCCCGCCTCCCGCCACCCGGCAGCTGTCGGAGCGCCCCCTGGCGGGCGGGCATCGGAGGCGCGGCCGTCGCGCGACCCCGCACCTCTGGCCGCGCGGGGAGGGGGAGGGGCGAGCTTGCAGCTGCGAACCCCCGGGAGGCCGCCTAGCTGGGAGGCATGGGGGGTGCGGGGCTCGGGGGAGGGGAGGCGGGCCGGGGTTCCGGTGACAGCCCCGCCGGGAGCAGAGGTGGGGCACCGACCCGGGAGGCCAAGGGTCAGGAGGCCGAGCTGGCAGGGGGCTCGAACAGCTGCGGGCACCTCCCTTCGCGAGGCCTGAATCAGAGAAACTTGGGGCGGAAAGTACCGCGAGGATCTTTGGACTCAAGTCCCCTCTTGTACAGATGGGGAATTTTAGGGCCAGGGAATGACCCGACTGGGTCGTAGGGCGGGTAGTCAGCAGGACCCGGGGGAAGAGGAAAAGGGACTGGCCCCCTAAGGCGGCCCTGGCCCCTTGCTGCCTAGGGCAACCCCCCCCCGCCCCGGAGGTCCCAGAGGAGCACCCCATTAGGTAATCCCAAACCAACCAACCAAAATAAAACATGAACCTCACGGGGGTGCTCAAATTGAACTGGCTCCTTTCTAGAGTTTCCGAACGCAAATATTTTGAATCATCTCACCAAAAGTAAACGTTTCTCCAGTTTTGGGTGGTGGCGCTTAGCTGCTGGCCTGGCTCCGGGGTTGGGGGACCCTGCACTGCCGAGCAGTGTTTAAGGACAGGGTTCAAACTGGGTTCACGGCCAGCTTCGCCACCAGCTCGGGGACGACGGGAGGGAAGGCGCTGGCCGAGCGCGGACCCTGCGGCGGCAGCCCAGGCGTGGGGACTCTCGGGGCGCATTCCGAGCCCGGCGGACCCCCCAGCCGAGTGGACGGAAGGGCCCAGGTGCCGGGTCACAGCCCAGGCTGCGCTCTGCCGCCGCCTCACAGCTCGCCCCGGCCGACCTCGGGCGCCGGGAGCGCCGAGAACTTGCCCCCCATTGTTCTGGAGGGGATTGAACGAGCGCCGGGCGGACTCGGGCGGCGACTTGGCTCCGGGGTGCTCAGCTCTGCGGGACGCTCCGGGCAATTTCCGATGCCCACGTTTTTGCTTCCACTCGCTCCCCCTTTTCAACTCCCCAGGGAGGGGGGGGGGGAGTCCTAAATATATCCGGCGACTTGGATTTGTAATCCCCTACTTCTTTTCTTTTACATTTGACTTCTCGAACCCTCAGGACACACAGACCATTTTTATTAGGAGTATCAAAATCCTTTAAAAGCAAACACACACTTACAAATTGTAAGGTTCACACCCAACCAGGCCTGAAGTTAGCCACACCAGGAGGTACAGTTCGCGCGGACACACAAATCGTAAACCACTACCACTCTCTCACCTAAGTCCTCAAGAGTCAACAAACTCCTAGCTCCTAGCCTCTCCCCCCACCCCCCAATAAGAATTTATGAAAGACACATCCGTTAGAGATACTGTTTCCTTCTTGCATTTCCAAAATAAAGCATCGGGCTCATGCTCAGAAACGCATTCTCGTGTTTTAAGAGTTCAAAAGAAATTCGTGATTGAGTTTAAAATTGGGCGAAGAAGTCACTTGTGATGAACAAATACAACATCCCAGCCACAGGGGAAAAGAAAAGCTGGAAAGAAATCCTCCCTGCGAACAAAAAAGAGGCAGGAAAATCCTACCTAAATGTCACTCCCCTCCGGCCCCGCCCCCGGCAGTTTTGTGGGAAAGTGTCTTGGGCTCAGGGTAGTTACAAAGGGGTGGCCCGGGGCACAGCTGGGGCGCGTGGGTCCCGTGGTGGCCTCTGGGTTTTCTGGACACTCTCGGGTCATCGCCACCTTCTGGCACAGCTTCCAACCGGAGGTGCTAAGGGCAGGCTGTTGGTGTGTGTGTGTGTATGTGAGTGTGTGTGTGTGTGTGTGTGTGTGTGTGTGTGCGCGCGCGCGCTCCCGGAGTGGGGTTGCGGGGACGCGGGGCGCTTGGGGACTTTTACTGAGCGGGGCAGGCGGCCGAAGTCTAGCGTCAGTCTGCGAGCCGTGGGACTAGGGCTCAGGTCAGTTGTGCAGCGCAGGCTTGCGCGACACTGAAACGCAGCGAGGGCGGCGGCTCCGGGTGACTCACCCCGGGGGCGACTCTCAGTCGGGGGGCCGCGCTGGGGTCGGAATCGGAAGGGACGTTCCGTCCCGGAAAGGCGCGAAGCCGGGCGTTGGAGGCCCGCTGTGCCCGCCGGAGCCGAGTGTGCAGGCTTGGAAAACTTTCCGAACGCGACCGGGATGAGCTTGAACATCCCGAGCTTCCGAACTCCAGCCGCCGGGGCGAGAATGCGGCAGCGCGGGGGCCCCCCTCGCCCGCGCTTCCGCAGCGAGGGTTTCCAGCTGCGCTCCGCGCCCCGAGGGCCCCTTTGCGCACGAGAGCTGGAGAGAGCGTCTTCCACTTGGACTTAATAAAGCGCAGCTCAGCGACCGATTTGCTCGAAGTTGAGCAACAACACCTGATCGTTGGTGCAACGGGTCAGCAAAGCAAACCGCCTCCTCGGTGAAGGCGCATGGAATGCTGGCTTTCATATTTATTCAGGGAAAGGAGGGGCGGGGAGAGAGAACAATTTCTTAAACCCAACGTCCCCCCAACGAACCCGGATCCGGACAAAACTTTCTGCACGTGACGTTCACACTGGCTTCTCGACCACGTTGCTTTTTACCAGACTCGCTCCCCCGACCTTTCCTGCCAGTTAGGGAGCAGAGGGAAGATTTTTCTTGGGGACCGTTTACACCGATCTCAGTTAACTAGCAGCCCGCAAGAGATCAACTCCTAGCAAAGAATAAGAAGGGAAAACTTAAAAAAAAAAAAAAAAAAAGTTGACAGCCTTTTACAAACTTCCCACTTAAACTTCCGACACCGCTGTCTGTTCCGGAAGGCACCCCCTTTCCGGGTCCCCAGCGTGGGATGGTCGCGTTTGGGGGCTGCAGGCGTCCCTGGCCCGAGTCTCGCTCTTCCAGCCCCCTTCCTACCGCACAACATAACACGCACATCTCGGACATGTGGATCGAGACTCGAGTCCCCAACACGAGGACAACTCCACGCCAAGACGGAGCCAGTGCGCAAAGGCGCGCGGCAGCCGGAGCGCAGCCCCGCGCCGCTCGGCGGGGCCGGACCTCTCCCCACCCGCGGTCAATCCTGCATCCTTCCCACCATCTGCTACTGTCACCAGCTCCCGGCTCCGCCCCCTGGCTCCGCCCCTTGCCCCGCAGCCAATAGCAACCTCCGGCCTCTCTCCACCGCCCCAAACCCTTTCCACACCCCCACGTTCCGGGAGCCGGTTGGCTGCTGAACGCTCGGTGGAGCGCCCGCAGAGGCAGGGCGCTCCGGCCTTCTGGTAGGCGGAGGGAGCCGTCAGTCCGGAAGGCTGGGCCCGCCCACCCCACCTCGGTCTCGGGCGCTCTTCCTGCGCAGTTCTTCGCAGCCTCCGCGGGGACGTGCCGGGGCCGCTCCCGAGGCTCGGAGGGCAGGCCCGCCAGGAGGCAGCCCCGGCGAGCGGCCGTGCGCACCGTCTGGAGTGGCCGCGGGAGCGGGGGCGCCGCGTTCTCCCGCCGGAGCAGGAGCAGCCCTTGGGCCAGCGGTTGCCGCCACCGCGACTTGGGTTCCAGTTGAGGCTCCTCCCGGGCAACATGTCAAAAGCCGCCACCGCTCCAGCTGCCGCCGCCACCTGGGGAAGAGCGGCGGCGGCGGCGGCGGCCCCGGGCGCGCGGGGACAGTAAGCCGGCCCGGCCGGGCGTCCTGCGGGCCAGGGAACCCCCTCCGCGCTCACCGCTCCGGCGGGCCCCGCGCCATGTGCTGAGCCATGTCCCCCGCCGCGCCCCCGGGCCGCGCATGGGGCAGCGCCTGAGCGGCGGCCGGTCCTGCCTCGATGTCCCCGGCCGGCTCCTGCCGCAGCCGCCGGCGTCCCCGCCACCGGTGAGGAGGAAGCTCGCGCTGCTCTTCGCCATGCTCTGCATCTGGCTCTACATGTTCCTGTACTCGTGCGCCGGCTCGTGCGCCGCCGCGCCCGGGCTGCTGCTGCTGGGCTCCGGGTCCCGCGCCGCCCACGCCCCGCCGGCCCCGGCCCGGGGTCCCGACGCGACTCCCCCCAGGCTGCCGTTCCTGGCGGCGCCGGCGGCCCCGCTGGCTGCGGGCAGGGAGCCGGCCGAGGGCGCCGCGAGCCAGGAGGAGCAGAGCCCCGAGGCGCCGGACTCCCCCGGCCCCATCTCCAGCTTCTTCAGCGGGTCCGGGAGCAAGCAGCTGCCGCAGGCCATCATCATCGGCGTGAAGAAGGGCGGCACGCGGGCGCTGCTGGAGTTCCTGCGCGTGCACCCCGACGTGCGCGCCGTGGGCGCCGAGCCCCACTTCTTCGACCGCAGCTACGACAAGGGCCTCGCCTGGTACCGGTGAGCTTCCCCAGCAGGGCCAAGTGCAGGGGCGGCGGGCGCGATCCAGACCCGCCGAGGACGGAGACGTGGCATGTGCCGGGGGAGTGACAGGGGCGCACGGCCTCCGACCCCCGGGGGCGGGGAGGGGCGGATGGAGGCACACCCGGCCCCCGGCGTGGTACGCGGTGCGCCGGGCTCCGCTCTCGCCACGACCCGTAGCAACTTCTCGAGGAGGTCTGGCGGCTCCGCGGCCCACGGCGCCCCGGGGATTAATCAAAGAAGGGGGGGTGCTCAGCGACGGGGCCCACTTAACGGAGGCCGTTTCCCAAAGCAGCCCATCCCGCGTTGCGCGTGTTTTCTTTTTCCTCTCGGAGCGCCGGGACGGTCTGCGCCCAGCCGGTCGCGGTCTCCACCCTAGACCAACTTCGAGAGCTGCTTCTGCTGCCCAGATGGGGAAGGGGGTGGGAGAGACAGACGGCGTCTGTAAGCTTTTTTTTGGTTACGGTCGTACTCCTTGCTGGAAGCCGGAGACGGCCAGGCCCGCTCGGCTGGCGGGCAGCTCGGGCTCGGGAGGGTGAGCTGGGCGGGGGGCCGGGCGGCGCGGAGCGTGGAGCGGTGCTGGTCCCTGTCGGGCAAAGGGGCGCACTGCAGCCGGCGGGAGCGGCTCTGAAGGCTCGGGGGCGCCTCCGGCGCTGCTCGCTCGTTTCCCGGGCCTCCCGGGTCTGGGTGCTGGGAGAGCGCGGGCAGGGACGCGCGTCTCCGAGGGCCCTGCACAGCGTCGGGGCGCAAAGAAGGTTAGGGGTTCATTCATTGAGCATCGTGCTTTACCCGAATTTCGCTTTTCGGGTCGCGTTGTGGGTCGGGGTGCAAAGGGGGCAGCGGCCCTTGGGGTCGTCATCACGACCTCTGCCCCAACGCTTTTCAAAGCGATGGGTCTTTGGAGTGAGGTTTGGGGTTGACCGAGCTTCCGGGGAGGCGCGGGGCGGGCAGGGAGGGTGTCCAGACTCCGGCCTTCGGAAAACTTGGTCGCCAGCCAGGGGCTCGACCAACGGCCTCCACCCCTGTCCCTCTGGCCCTGAACCCCCAACCCTCGCAAGTGTGACTCTGCAGTTCCCGGCAGGCACCCCTCCAGGTCCAGGATGCTCAGGACTTCGAGGAAACAAAAGGGTGAAGTCGAACCGAACCGCGTTCCCTGCTCCCACCCCCGCCCCCCTCATGGCCCCGGGAGAGATAAAAGGGGGCTGACCCGGCGGATTAAAATCGCTCTCTTCCCAGCCTCGCCCTCCCCCTCCCTTTTGTCCCTAATGTTTTTATGATTGTCAGGAATCGCCCGAGTCTCGAGGTTTAGCCAGCCGTGACAGTCACGCTTCCCACCGTTGCCGGGCTCTGGTGGCCGACGTCTGGATTCGCGTCCGGGCTCTGGCAGCTCGCTGGTGGCGCCGAGCCTCAGTGCTGCCATCCGTGCAGTGGGTGGGGATTCTGCGGTTACCTGCCCCCCCCCCCCCCCCCCCCNTCCTTCACTTGGACAGGAAGCTCTTAACTGTTTTCTTTCATGCTTCCACCCCCCCCCCCCCCCCCCCCCCCCCCCCCCCCCCCCCCCCCCCCCCCCTGCAACAAGTTTACCTACCGCAAGGCCACAGTGATCCCCCCCCCCCCCCCCCCCCGCCTCCAGGGATGAGAAATCCGGGAGCCGGGAGGGCAGGCCGTCGCGAGCGCCTTTCCAGGGGGAACCCGCCAGGGGCCGGAGGCAGCCCGGGATTTTCTCCGATCCGAAAGCGGGGGGCCGGGTCGGGAGGAGCTGGCTGGAAAGCCGCCGAACCGGCGACGGCGGGCGTGTTAGAAGCACCCGGGGCAGGCTATGGAAATCCCCGCTGCAAGACCCGCGCGGCGTCTCCGGCGGCCGCGCTCCACCTGCCGCGTTCCTTTTGATGGACTCCAAACTGCGGAACACGGAGCGAATGCGCGCTGGAGACGCTCGCCGCGCGCCGGCGGCCGGGAGCGCGACAGCGGGGACCCTCGGGCGGGACCCGTGCCCGCGGGGCGGCGTCGCGACCGGCTGCGCGGGGCGCCAGGCCTTGGGGGCGGGGGCGCCTCGCCGTCTTCCCTGGCCATCTCCCTGAACCCGGGGGCCGCGCTGCCGGGGACCCGGAGGTCCCGGGCCCGGCGCGGCCACCCCGCGGACCGGGTGGCGGGAGGAGCGAACTGCAGACCCCACGGCTCGTCCCTCGCGCTGCTCAGCAGCGCCCTGTGGGGCCGCAGGCTTAGTGGATGCCTTCAAGACAGGAAAAAAAAAAAAAAAAAAAAAACAAAAATCCAAGTCTTTTAAGTGCCATCTGCTTACCTAATTTTTTAATTGATGAAGGATATTCTGGACGTCTGGGCAAATGTGTGGACCTAATTATTTTGAAGGCAGCCGTTTTAACTTTAAACAGACCCCACCGGGAGGAAAGGCCTGTCCCACAGCGCTTTTCCTAAAACCCGGTGCCCTGGCTGTTCTCTGGGCTCAGCCAAGCCTCGCTGCTCGCCAGAGGTGTGCCCCCGTGGTATCTCCCGCTGTGTCCGGACGGTCAGGCCGCAGACTGCAGAAGAGTGTAAATAATAATTAACCGGAGAGTTGCAGTTGGGCTACGTGGTTAAAGTGTGTTCTCAAAAGCAGAAAGTAGGAGAGAGGGGAAGACATTTCGGAGGCATTTGGACATTTTCAAGGCATTAAGAAAATAGGGGCACGGATGGTTGAATCCGACAGTCAGCGTGGCAGTGTGTAGGGGAAGGAGGTCTTGGCTGTGTCTGAGCAAGTCGTTAATGGGTTTAATCGGTTGGTAACACGCTGCTGCTAGTGGCCTCACCAGTAGCCCAGGCCCTGGGCAGATTGGCGTGAAGTTTTAGGACTTGATCGGAGGTCTTTTCCACTTGGCAGAATGAGACCGTGGCAGACGGAGGTGCAGGGCTTATGGTAAGAACGAGCCTACCGGGGTGGCTTCTCAGAGCTCACCTTGCCACCCGCCAGAAATCTGGAATTTTCCGCCGCTTTACCTGCTGGGAAAAAAGAAAAAAAAAAAAAGTGCTAGTAGGTGCGGTTCATCTGCTCCTGACCTTGAGTTTGGTTTAGTCTGGGATGAAAACTCTTGTGGGTTTATTTTTCCAGGCCATTATCCAGCTCGCTCTTTCTGTCTCTCTGCTCAGGCCTCCAAAACTTAACAGGTGCTCAGAGGATTCCATGAATTGGTTTATCAAGATGGGGTGAAATTGGCTTTTACCTTCTGTTCCATGTTTGTGAAGGTGTGGGAGAAGCATGGGGCCCCTTACATACCCCCGAGGTGGAGAAATCACCCACATTTAGGCTCTGAATATTGACTTCAACTTTGAATTTAAAATTAAGTATGTACATTCTGCAATATGTTTCTCTTTTTGATTTGGTTTAAGCTTGGTAGACTTGCAAGAATTTTAATGACCCCAGTTTGGGGATTATGTTAGCTAAATATTGTGTGATTATGATTGTTGTTGTTGTTTTTTGTTTTACTTATTTCTAGGAGACAGAGAGAGAGACAGCGTGAGCAGGGGAGGGTCAGAGAGAGAGGGAGTCACAGACTGAAACTGGCTCCAGGCTCTGATCTGGCAGTCAGCACAGGGCCCGACGTGGGGCTCGAACCCACGAACCGCGAGATCATGACCTAAGCGAAAGTCAGACGCTTAACCGACTAAGCCACCCAGGCGCCCCGTTTTTTTGTTTGTTTGTTTGTTTGTTTGTTTTAAGGAGAGAGAGAATTATGCCTTAGACATTACAGCGGCAGAACTCCTTCCCCGCCCTGACTCTTCTTTCCATTTTTGGTTGTACAAAAATTAGCTGACACTTTAATGCTGTGGCCACATTAAAAAAAAAAAAAAAGTATAGTGTGTGGGTGGTTTAATAATGCTGATAGCTAACACTTACTGAATGTTTTCCCTGTGTGCAGGCACTGTTTCAAGTTTTACAGGATTAGCAAATTTAATCCTCATTACAGTCCTGTGAAGTAGGTACTTTTATAAGCCAAGAAACACAGGCGCAGAGAGGTTAAGCGACTGGCCCAAGGTCTCACAGCCAGAAGGAGACAGAGCTAGGATAGCAAGCCCGGGCAGTTCTGATCCAGGGGTCCCTCTGGGCTGTGCTGGCCCTGGTTTAAGTGACCAGAACAGGAGGTTGGTGACAGATGATGAGTTCAGAACTGGGTTAGCTTTGGAAGAGTTTGAGTTTTCTGTTGTACCTTTTCCAGTGACCTCACTGGACTGCTCACTTTTGTGAATCGATGTAAAAGAGTATCAGCCCCAGAAGAGGCGAGTTAACTACATCCCAAGTTGGCTTATAAACTAGAGTAAGGGTAATTCCATCACTATAGAAGTTTCATTTCTATGCCTGGACAGGACAGAGTCAAAGGAGTCATTAAAATTACAAAAATCTCCTCAAATATAATGGCTGAGAAAACATAGTGAGCGTCCCTACGGGTTTATTCTCTTCCATTTGCCCTCTTTTAAGGCTGGCGGGCGGGGGTGGGAGGGAAGCTTGGAGGGGGACTTAGAGTTAAATAGGATGTTCCAGAACTTTCAGGGGTGAATTTATTCCTACACAAAACAAAAAGCAGCACTCCAAATCAAAACTGAAAACTTGCACTTATTAACCAGAAGACAGTTATAACTAACACTTGGAGCAGATTTCTTTAGAATTAGGTTCTAAAACCCAGTAACTTCAGAAAATCTCTGTCTTGAAAGCCAGGAGCTGAAAATAACAGCTTTCCCTACGTTTCAGTTGAACAAATGCTGAGAAAACTAACTTCTCCCGTTTTCCTAGACTAGCTCTGAAAACGTGGAAACACTGCTTCCGTCTTCACCGAGGGAAATTTAAGATACGATCTGATTGGAGATAATCCTTTTTGAAGTAATTGCACTTTCTCAGTCGTGGACTTTAAACCAAATATGCAACCCCCTTCAAGCTGCTGGGTGAAGATCAAAAATCTACATTTATATGCAACAATTTGAAATACAAA